GGTGCCAGGGATCAAACTTGGGTCCTTGCACTTGCAAGGCAGGCAGTGGAACCACTGAGCTGAATCTCCGGCTCTAAAAATTTTTATTTTTATTGGTACATGTTTGTAATATATAATGATTATATTTCTCATGGGGGGTTGGTACATGTACATAACACATCTTCATTCTTTTTATCATCCCCTTCCCACCCTACTTCTTCCTCCATCTCTTGGTGCTCATCCCTTTAGCAAAAGATCTATCTCCCTATCTATCTCCCTATCTATCTATCTATCTATCTATCTGTCTATTTATTTATGGTATCGGGGATCGGACTCAGGACCTTGCGCTTGTGAGCCAGGTGGCAATGCCAGTGAGCTAAATACCTGGCCCTTCTTATTTATTTTTCTCTTTATTTGTGCTTTCAGGTTCTCATTTAAGAGAAACCATATGATACTTACCTTTCTAAATCTGATTTATTTCACTTAACATTATGGTCTCAAGATGCATCCATTTTCTACAAATGACAAGTTTATCCTTTATGAGAGAGTAGTACTCCATTTTGTATAAATACCACCATTTATTTTTTTACTTATTTATTGATCACACATAGGCCACTTCCAAGATTTAGCTATTATGAGTTGTGGTGCTATAAACATGGGTGTGCATGTATCACTGTAATAGGATGTCTTTAACTCCTTCAAGAAGATAGCTAGAAGAGGAATAGTGAGTCAAATGGAATAATGGGTCAAATGGAATTTGTACTTTTAGCTTTTTGAGGAACTCCATAGTGATTTCCTTAGTGGTTCTACTAGTACACTTCTACCAACAATATAGAAGGGTGCTTTATTTCCCCGTATTCTCACCAGCATTTGTTATTTGATTTTATGATGGTAGCCATTCTTCTTGGAATAAGGTGGAATCAGTGTTGTTTTAATTTACATTTCTCCAGTGGCCAGGAATGTACATTTTTTCACATATTTGTTGGCAGTTTGAATTTCTTCTGAGAAGTGTCTGTTCATTTCAGTTGCCCATGTTTTGATTGGGCCTTTTTTTTGGGGGGGGAGTCTAATTTTTTTGAGTTCTTTATATATTTTAGGTATTAGTCCTCTATCCAAGGAATAGATGGCAAAAATTTTTTTCTATTCTGTAGTTTGTCTCTTTACTCTGTTGTTCTTTTCTTTGTTGTGCAGAAACTTTTCAATTTGATATGATCCCATTTATTAATTCTTGGTATTATTCCTTGTGTAATTGGAGTTTTGTTCAAAAAGTCCTTGCCTATGCATTCAAGAGTTCTACATATTTTATCTTGCAGTAGATTGTTTCTTTTTTAGCATTTAGATCCATGTTGATTTTAGTTCAGTACATGGGCAGAGACAGGGGTCTAGATACAGCTTTCAGCATATGGATTGCCAGTTTTCCTAGCACCTTTTGTTAGAGGCTCTTGTTTCCTGTAGCATATGTTTTTTGCCCTTTTGTCAAAGATCACAAATGTTGTGGAGTTGTTTCTCCATCTTCTGTTTTGTTTCATTGAGCCACATGTTTGTTTTTGTGCCACTATCATGCTGTCTTTATCACTGTAGCTTTGTAGTACAGTATATCTTCAGATCTGGAATTGTGATGCTTCCTGCTTTGCTCTTGTTGCTGAGGATTGCTTTTGCTGTTCTGGGTCTCTTTTGGTGCCATATGAATTTTATGATTGTTTTCTCTACTTCTGTTAGGGATGTTATTTGTATTCTTATTGGGATTGCGTTAAATCTGTATATTAGGTGTCCTGCATTAAATCTGATTCAGAGCAAAAAAAATGTGTATATCAGTTGTGGAACTATGGCCATTTTGTCTATATCGGTTCCACCTATCCAGAAACAAGGGTTATTTTCCTATTTTATTTATTAATTTACTTATTTATTTTGGTTTTTTGAAATAGGGTCTTGCTTTTTAGTTCAGGCTGGCCCTGACTCACTATGTAGTCCACGCTGGCCTCGAATTTGTGGTGATCCTACTGCCTCAGCCTCCCAAGTGCTGGGATTACAGGCATGCACCACCACGCCCAGCATCTTCTTGTTTTCTTATGTTCTCTTTGGTTTCCTTTTTTTTTCAGAATACTGTATTTTCCATTGTAGAGGTCTTTCACTTCTTTGGTTAGGTTAATTCCTAAGTACTATTGTGAATGGTAATGTTTTCCTAATTTCTTTCTCATTGAGTTCATTATTGGTGTACAGGAGTGCTGTTGATTTTTGCGTGTTGATTTTGTATCCTGCTACACTACTGAATTTGGTTACTATTTCTACGCGTTTTTTAGTGAAATGTTGTGGGTCTTATGTGTAGAGGATCATGTCATCTGCAAATAATGATAATTTGACCTCTTCCTTTCTTATACATATCCCTTTTATTTCTTTCTCTTGCTTGATTGTGATTGTCCAGGCTAATGTTTTGCATACTATGTTGAACAGGAGTGGTGATAGTGGACATTCTTGTCTTGTTCCTGATTTAGATGGAAAACTTTCAGCTTTTCTCCATTTAACAAGTTCCTGTCACCTTGACCCACCAGTAGTACATGAATGACTCTTTCATCGGGTGGCTTGAGCCACCAGGACTTAGCTGTTTAACATCAGATGATGGAATTCAAATCAGAGCCACTCAGCTGTGGGACATACAAACACCCGTATTGTGAATGTGTTAATATGATATTGGCCATTGGTTTATCATAAATGGCTTCTATCAGATTGAGATAAGGTCTTTCTATATGTATTTTCTTTGCGGGTTTTTTTTTTTATCAAGAATATATGTTGAATTTTGTCAAAGGCTTTTTCTACATATGTGATATTTGTCCTTATTTCTCTTTATGTGATATATTTATTGATTTTTTTTTTTTTTAAGTGAAACATTTATCGGTACATTTTAGTTATACATAATGATAACAAATCATCATAGGGAATTTGTACCTATATGTGATCTATCTTGCTTCCCTGGGGTAAAGTTTGCTTGGTCATGATGTATGGCCTTTTTGATGATTTTTTGCACTGTTTGCCATATCATGTTGAGAATTTTTGCATCTGTGTTTATTAAAGAGATTGGCCTATAGTGTTCTATTTTGTGGAATTCTTTTCTGGTTTTGGAATCAGTGTTGCTAGCTTCAGGAATAACTTTGGGAGTAGTCCTTCTGTTTCAACTTCATTAAAGAATTTGAGGAATATTGGTGTTAGAGCTTCCCTAATTCAGCAATAAATCTCTCAGAACCTGTGCTTTTCTTAGTTGGTAGGTTTTTTATTACTGCCTCAATTTTGTTGCTTATTATTAGATTATTCAGGGTTTTTATATTTTCTTGGTTCAATTTTGATAATTCATATGTATCTAGGAATCTTTTTTTCTGAATTCTCCAGTTTATTGGAATATAGATTGTTAAAATAATTATTAATATCTTCTAGAGCCGAGGATCTTTCTCAGTGGTTCCGGTGCCTGCCTCACAAGCGCAAGGTCCCAAGTTCAATCCCTAGTACAAAAATAATAATAATAATAATCTTCTGGATTTCAGTTGTCCCTTGTGACCTTTTTCATTTCTAATTGCATTGATTTTGTTCTTTTCTCTTGTTTTGTAAGATTGGCTAAGATGAGCCGGGGATTTAGCTTAGTGGTTCCGCCGCCTGCCTTGCAAGTGCAAAGTCCCGAGTTTGAGCTCTGGTACCAAAAAAAAAAAAAAGATTGGTTAAGGTTTGGTCTATTTTGTTTATTCTTTAAAGAATTAACTCTTTTTTTCCTAGTACCAGGACTCAAACGCAGGACCTTGCACTTGCCAGGCAGGTGCAGCATCTGTCGCTGAGCTAAACCCCCAGCCCAAGAATCAACTCTTTGATTCATTGATTCTTTGTTATTTTTGGTCTCAATTTCATTAATTTCTGGTCTGATCTTTATAATTTCTTCCTTTGTACTAGCTTTGGATTTGGATTTTTTTTTTCTAGAATGTTGAGGTCTATCATTATTTATTTGGGTTCGCTTTTTTTTCTGATGTGGGCATTCATAGCTATAAAAGTCCCTCTTAAGACTTTTTTCATTCTGTCCCATACATTTTGGTGTGTTGAACTGGCATTATCATTTGATTCTGGGAATTGTCTAATTTTCTTGATTTCTTCTATGACACATTGATTATTCAAGAGCATATTGTTTAATTTCTATAATTTCTGTGGTCTATTTTGCCATTTACTTGTATTTTCATTACACTATAATCTGATATTATTTATGGTATAATTTTGATTCTTTTACATTTACTTTAGCACACTTTATGGGCTAGCATGTGGTCTATTTTGGAGAAAACTACATGTGTTGCTGAGAATGTATTCTGTTATTAGATGGAACACTCTGTAGATATCTGTTAAATTCATTTGTTTGAAGGATTGGTTCAACTCTGATATTTCTTTGTTGATTTTTTTTTTTTTGTCTAGTTGATCTATTTGTGACAATGTGGTTTTGAAGTCCCCCAATGTAATTGTGTTGGTGTTTATCTGATCTTTTATATCCAGTAGTGTTTGTTTTATGAAGTTGGGTGTACCAGTGTCCTACCCTTAATCATAGAAAAGAGATCTGTAATTATTGTATAAACACTAAGATAAGTATATATATTGACATACAGTAAATATTTAGTGAATGTAACAACTGTACCTCCACCAATCAACAGTGATAGTGTACAGTTAACTATCTAAAGATTCATAAAGCTGAGTGGTTATAGTAGTAAAGATAGAAGGGTAGAAAATGAAAGAAGAAAAATTTGAATAGTTAAGTAATGAAAGATGAAAAGGAGAGAAAAATTAAAATGAAGGATCCTGTTAGGGAGTAAACAGAAATTAATAGAATTAGATAACAGTTACAGAAAAGAACAAGAAAAAGAAGAAAAAAAAATTTAAAAAGGAAAAAGCCCCTAGAACCAATGAAGAAGAAAAAGAAAGGAAGTGACCCCCTCTGGTTTGTTTATTTGTTTGTTTGTATATTAAAATGAGAGGTTTTGTTCTGTGATCTGCAGTTTTGGAATCCATCAGGTCATGGTTTTCTCTTCTTTTATGGCCTGTGTGTTTATGGGGTGCCTGTCTGTCCATTCTCCCAGGCCATGGCAACAGTCCAAACTGAGCCATGACTTTGCTTACATTGGTAGATTGGGAAAGTAATTAGACCCCTTATCTGTGCTGGATTTAACAGCAAAGTGAGGATTTAAGCAATTTTCTGGACTTAATGCCAGCACTTTCAGACCCAGCTGCCTCTGAAAGCTGTGCATGCCGGGCCTGGCTTCTCTTGGGTTTAACTTCTCAGAGAGTCTGTGGCCAGCCTGTTGCCTGTCCTCAACTTTCTGTCACCCAGTAAGTGGGAAAATGACACAGAACTCTGAAGTGAGTTTGTTTTGTGGTTTTTCTATGGTTCAGTCTTAAATAATCAACTCCTTCCCAAAATAGTGCCTGATTAAACACTCTGGCAATATGGCAGGTGCCACATTGGATTCCTTTTCTACCTGTAGCCTGCAGTGTGGAAGGAGTCACTTTCCAAGTAAAGCCCTGTGCTGTTTTTGCAATTTACAATAGATATGGGCTTTTCTGGGGCCTAGTGCTGGTGGCTCAGTCTGTTGTTTATTCCTGGAGCTCCCAATGCTGGGGACTTACTTTGTTTCTACAGAGTCAGGTTTCCTTCCTGGAAAGCTAAAGTAAGCTTCCAGTCTGCTTTTTTCTTTTATCTGCATTGTGGTCCATTCCTTCAGCTTCTGGAGTTTCTGATTTTCCTGTCAGGTCCCTTTATAATCCCAGAGATCTGCTTCTTTCTTTTTCCTCTTTGCTAACATGTTACTTTTCAGGTGTCTGGATTCCAGGTCCTGGAAAGGCTATATTTTGCTGTTGATTGCTACTCTACCATTTTGGTCTCTAGAATAGAATTCTATTTTTCCTCAAAGAAATAATTATTAAAACCTCACATGGAGGAAAAAAAAAAAACCTCACATGGTTCAAAATTTGTAATTCCCAACTTAAAGTGTTAATTTGCTTCAAAGTTGTTGTTTGAAAGTTAGACGACTACATTTTTTTTTTGAGGCTGTACTATATGAAAGTTGGTGAGCTTGTTAGTCTAGTACTCATACTATTCAAAATTGGTCTTCAGAGTTAAAACTCTGAAAAAAACCAAAAAATAGATTCTATCCTTGACTGCGAGAAGCCAAGGCATCTCTCCCTGACCCCAAGTGTTGTTTGTTTTGGTTTTTTGAGACAGGTTCTCTCTGTGTAGTTCAGGCTGGCCTTGAAATCACTTTGTAGGCTGGTCTCAAGCTTGCAGCAGTCCTTCTGCCTCAGCCTCCAGACTGCTGGAATCACAGGCGTGTGCTACCACGCACAGCTGACCCAAGTGTTATAAGCCGTCCTAGTGCAAGGGTTGACGACTCACCCAGTTTCAAGTCAATGATGATCTAAGTGCTGGTCCACTTAGTTAAAGGGAGCCAGAAGGGATACTAAGAGTGAGAAATAAAGTATCTGCATAGAAGTAGTATTTGGAAAGGTGATTACTAAAGTGTATTTTCCCTCTTTTCCTTTCCCTCCTCAAAGCACTCAGTCTGTGGTGAAGGTGAAGAGAGCCAGAAATGAGGATTGGGCAGATAAAAAGGGGTTTACCTTTCCATCCTCACTCTTTAGTGGAATCATTCTTTCTACTAAAGATTCTTAATGCCATCAAGTTTAGAGATCTGGGACAAATATGGGGATCAGGAGTTGTAAGTGAACCCCTCAGCAGAGAAATCACTAGCAGTGGCTCTAGAAACAATGGGCAAAAGTATTTTAAGTTTAATTAAAAAATTAAAGTGCCTAGAGTCTGTAGTAGTTTCAATAGTAAGTGAATGAGAGATTTAGAATTGTCTCTATATGTAAACCGAGGATCCCTATTTTTACTTATGAATAAAAATTGGATTTGTTATTGATTATAACCAAATTTCCAAGAAGCACAGAATTTTATAAATTCAGATGTTACTATCCAAATTCAGAAACTAAATACAGTAATGCAGTATCCCTCATTCTCTGAATTGGGGAACTAAGCCAAGTTAGACAGAAAAAGATGCTTGAATTCTTTCCCATATTTTCCCCCCTTTTAGTACCTAGTAAAAAGAATTGAATTAACACATGTGTTGCACTTTAATGATTGAGGGCATCCAAGGAGGAAATAAATTGGGGGAGATTATTATACAGATAGTCCCATGTTTGCAATAGTGACTTATGGTAACTTGGCCTAGGGCAGTGATGGTAAACTTTTTAGAGAAGAGTGCCCAAGCTACAACCCCCAACCCACTTATTTATCACAAAGTAGCAATGCTGCAATTAAACCTGAATACTGAGGTTTTAGTATAGAATAAACAACTCATACATTGACATCGTTTGTCTTAAAAGAAAAATATCGTGGTGTCTAGGTTCGCCACCACTGGCCCAGGGCATGGTAGCATCCTTCAAGGATGAAATTGGGATTATTTTATCTTTTAAAAAGTGCCTGTATGGGGCCGGAGGTTTAGTTCAGTGGCACCAGCACCTGGCAAGTGCAAGGTCCTGAGTTCGATCCCCGGTTCCGCAAAAAAAAAAAAAAAAGTTCCTGTATGTATATGTTTAATATAGTCAGTTCCTGGAGACCATAAAAATAACATCAAGAAAGAATTTGGTATGGAAAAATAACTCATGAAACCTATAATTTTTAAGATTTAGTGCTTTCAAAATATTCTGACTCCAGGATGTAAGAATTACATACTTTAAAAAAAAAAAAATCACAGCATTCATTTTGGTCCTGCAGTACATAGTAGTGAATAGTTTCTATAGATAAAATTAAGTCTTAGGGAGGTTAAAAATATATCTAATCTTGTTATTTTTGTTATTTAGGAGTTATTAATGCTTGGAAAACCAAAAAGAGCTCGCACAGCTTATAACATTTTTCTGTCTGAATACTTACCAACCTGTGAAGGTGCTACGATACAGGTAAATAGAGCTGCATTTGTTTCTGGGAGTTTTGTTTATTTTCATTTAAAAATTACTTGGAAATTTTAGGATTGTCATTTGTCAGGTGGTAAAAGAAAGTTGTAGATTTATAGAAATTAAACTTTTGATAAGGCCCTAATTATTGAATCTGTTTTAAAGAAAAATATTGGGCTGAGGGTATACCCCAGTGGGAGGGCACTTGCCCAGTATGTGTAAATCCCTGGTAACATACATACACACGAGAAACCCTTTTTCTTACCATAAACAATATGAGTCCATCATTCCCAATACCTTGCCAACTTCTTAAATTTACAAAACAAAATTTTCACATTTATAGAGATAGTAATATATTTCTGGAGACTCTTTTATTCAAGTAGCTCTTAACAGTTTTAGAGTCACTGGAAAGAAAGTGAGTAGAGCTATAATACAGTGGAAACTTGGTTCATAAGCAAACTGAATTGGACAAGAACTGAACCAAATTTCCCCATAAGGTCAACATTGAACCTAACTGTTGAATTTGATTTTGTTCATGACCAGAATTGTGGAAAGGATTAAGTTCGTGCACCACCGCTCCCAGCTCTACTAATATTTTTACGCTGTTGCTTCTTGAATTTTTTCAGTTACAAGCATTGTGTGTCATTTTATCACCTCCACTGTTTAAGATAAACTTTTAAGTCTCATTTCACTCTTCACATGTTGCATCTTTTTAGCTACCAATACAGTTATAATTTTGGTTAAGCTGGATGTGGTGGCGCATGTTTGTAATCCCAGCACTTGGGAGGCTGAGACAGGAGGATTGCCACAAGTTTGAGGCCAGCCTTCACTACCTAGTGAGTTCAAGGCCAGCCTGGACTACACAGACCTTGTCTGTCTCAAAAAACTAAAAATGGGTTGGGGATTTAGCTCAGTGGTTTCGCCGCCTGCTGCGCAAGCACAAGGACCTTAGTTCGATCTCCGGTACCAAAAAAAAACTAAAAAGAAGAAAAACAACAACAACAACAAAAAACCCAAAACATAATTGTGGTTAGATGAGTATTGAGCATGTTTATATATTATGATCATATGAATACTATTCACAGCTGAGCTGTCCCATATCCTACAATTATTTTTTCTTCTAAAACTTATTTTCCCTAAAGCTGACTGTGACTTGTTTTCCTTGTTGTTTGTTTTGTTTTTGTTTTTGGTACTTATCAATAATAATTCAACCCCAAATTCTTCAGTGTTCACCAGCTTTCAGCATCTTGAGATACACTAGTCTGTCTTGTCACTTTCAGGCTGGAGTCTTTGGTTTGTTCCAGCTTGGCTCTTGCCTTCTATTTGTAGTGTGTAACTAACTTTCTGGGCTCTTCCTTCTTCAGTTCTTTGTGGTACTTTCACTTCTATTGTGTTTCCTGGTTTACTTTGATTCTACTATAACATTTTCTCCAGTAAAGGAGCATGGGAAATTAAGTGTTTTAGTTTTTATGTGTCAAAGTCTTTGTTCTCACATATGTTTGTTAGAGTAGGTATAGAATTCTAGGATGCAAATCGTATATCTTCAAAGTTTTCAAAAGTATTTCTCCTTTCTTTTGTAGCTCATTATATTGCTTTTGAGAAATGCAAAAGCATTTTAATTGTTGGTCCTTCTCAGTATGATCTGGCTTCTTTTCTTCCCTTTCACTTTTCTGTATTCTGATTCTCAATAACTACTATTATTTATATATAGATCTTCTGAACTGGCCATCTAATTTTCTTATTTTTAGTTTGTCGCTGCCCTAGCATACCGTATATATTTAACCATCTCTGTGTTTTTTACACAATACTGTGCCTTCACCTGTATCTGATTTTCAGCGACTCTGTCTTACTCTCTTGAGAGAAGAACAAATGTTCTGGAATCTGTTACAGATGAGGTTTAACCTCTTTTTCATTGGTTCAGTGTGTCAGTCAGCCCTACCTTCACTTCTGTTTTATACCTAACTGGTGCTTCCAATGCCTTCAGCTAAGTAGAATTAGGGACTTGTATTCCTATGACTACCTAAACAGTTGGGCACAAATTTTAGAATAAAACTAAGGCTACAGAGAAGAAAGAAGTAAGCCAGTTAGTAGTTTTTATGTAGAAACAAAAGGATGTTATTTATTTATTTTTTGGTATCAGGGATCAAACTCAGGACCTTGCACTTTCGAGGCAGGCGCCGTGCCACTGAGCTAAATCCCCGGCCCCATAAAGGATGTTAATTGATGCAGCTTTGTCTGTAATTACTGATGTTGGAGTTTTTGAGTTTTTGTTGTTGGAATGAATAATAAAAGATTTTAATCACCAAAATCCCCGTATGTGCTACTTAAATATACATTGTTTTACAGGCAAAATGGAAGTCTGCACATGAAAACTGGAAAAATTTGTCTAGTTCTCAAAAGCTCGTAAGTATTAATGGGTTTTAGTTTCAAGTGTCCAGTTGGAATAAGTATGAGAGAATACTTTAGGGCAAGAATTGATTGATGTTAAGATAACCTGCTCTTACTAATAATACAGATTGCATTATAAATTTACTTTTCTATTACTAAAACTAATTTGGCTCTTCTTTCTTGGTAGTTTTTGACTGTAAATAAAATTGATATTCAGAAGAGTATGACTCATTATCTTGAGTGTCCACTGTATTAAGTGGTAGTTCTATCTTGCTTTTACCACCTTCCCACACCTTGAAATTGTAACAACTTTATTAATATTTATAAAAGCTTTCTTTCTTAACCTTTTTCTCATCTAACATTTACCTCACAAAAGCATTTTCTCTATTCCCCCTTCGTACATGTACAGTAGTAATGAGATTTCTATATACAGGGATACACTCCAGAAGTTAATTGCTCTTTTACAGATAAAGCATGTTAACAGTTACACTTTTTCTCAGGTATATGAACACCTTGCTAAAGATGATAAAATACGTTATGCTAATGAAATAAGATCTTGGGAAGAACGGATGATTGAAGATGGACGAAGTGATCTTGTACGTCCCAGGCCACGCCAGCGAAACAGGATGACACAGGAAAAGGAAGATTGAGTTTTGGTCCTAGTGGATAGGCAGAAGAAACCAATTAGGTGTCAATATGGGAAAGTGTTGCGAAATTAGGAAGAATAATGTTGGTAAACATTTTGTATTCAATTACTTTTTCTTTGTCTCCTGGACTGCTGCCATCTGAAGACATTTTGTGTTAGTATTTTGAAAACCCAAACAGATGAAAGTTCATGCAGAATTTTATTTTGTGTTTAAGAAGTACTGGGGATCAGAATAATTCATGTAAATGTACAGTGAATCATTTTACCTTTAATAAGGTAAATCAGTCTGTGAAGTTTTTTTATGCCAGATGACAATTATGGAAGTAGTATTCTTGTTCCTTATATAGGCAGGAGTTTCTTTTCAAAATGGTCACAAATTGTGGAATCCACAATATTCAATGATATAATTGTATGGTTGAAAAAAAGAACCAGAGGCTGGGTGTGGTGGTACACGTCTGTAATGCCAGGCCTCGGGAGGCTGAGGCAGGAGAATTACTGCAAGTTCAAGGCCAGCCTGGGCTACATAGTGAGTTGATGGCCAGCCTGAAATATAGAGCAAGACCCTGTGTCAAAAAAACCACACACACAAAAAAGGAACCAGAGCCCTGCATGTTGGTGCACATTTGTAGTCCCAGCACTCAGAAGGCTGAGGCAAGAGAATTGCCATGAATTTGAGGCCAGCCTGGGCTACATAGTGAGTTCAAGGTCAGCCAGGAATAAAAAGTGAGACCCTATCTCAGTTTTAAAAAGAGCCAGAACTCATTTAGGTAAATTCTAATTCCTAAGTATAATTCATACTATATTTAGGGTTGATGGTCATATATGGCAAATAATTGTTGGTTTCAGTAAAAACTTTTTGTAAGAAGGACTGACAGATTTTAAAACCTTTTTCTCATTATCTTTTTTCCTAAAGTAAAATTATGTACCAAATCTATGCATATTGGTTTATTTTTCATAGAATAAAAATTTGAATTTTTCATTTTGCATGTTTCTGAATTATACATTATAAGATTCGTTTTATAGCTTTCCTTTTTTTAAAAGTAAGGAATTGTGTTTTTTCTGAATTTTTTCCTATTTTGTGGAAGTATATTTATAAAGATTACTTGTATGGTATAAAATTTTAAATGAGAAATGTAAGAAACAAAAGCCTTCCAAGGCAGAAATGTGAAACATTTTGCATAATATATAAATATTTGCATAAGGGGCAGGCACTTAGGGTGTATGGGCCAATCCATCTCACTGCCTATTATTCTTCATGGCTGTGAGTTAAAAATTATATTTATATTTTAAATGGCTTTTAAAAAGAAAACTATAAATATGAAAATTAATATAAAATTTACTCTCCATAAGTAATTTTATTGCAACACAGCCATATTTATTCTTCTGCATACTGTGTGTGGCTGCTTTTGTGTTACAGGTAGAGTTGGGTGACTGCTTCAGAGTTTATACCCTGCAAAGCTTAAAATACAAACTATCTGGGCCCATACAGACATTCTCCCAGCCCATGGCTTATGGTATAGTGCAGTGTGACTGCTTTTCCCATGTATTAATGTGTAGGGATATGTGTTTAATTGCTTTGGTGTTCCTGCTTTCCAGTCATTGTCACCCATGTCTAAGAGAATTTGTCACTATGTAAGCAAAACAAACACTATATTGATAACCATTGTGTGCAAGGAAAATAATCTTGAGTCTCAAATTATGTTGCAAATAATGAAAAAGATTTATGTAGAAAGAGATTCTCAATTTATTTGTGATAGCTCAGTAAAATGTACACATTTCCCAGCTAGCGCATATCACAGAAACCTCACTGTAGTAGGGAGCCATCCTTCTTTAGCATTTGTTTATTTTCTTGGGAATGTCAAGCAAAGGTTTTCACAATCTACTCCACCTCTTTGGAATAATTTATCTCTCATCATTAGTTCACAGATATAACTTGGAATTTATATGTACTTTGTATTATTCATAGTACTTAGAAATTATAGATTTTTGTTGTTTGTGGATGGAAAATAAGTGAAAAATCTCAAAAAGATGACTTGTTATATTCCAAACTTGACAAATGTAGGACCTGAAGAGAAAAATGTAGCATGAGAAAAAACAGGTATTTTCAAACAACTTTCCCCTGTGAATTGAGTAGAGGACCGTCTTTCATTACTAAAATAGTTACTGTGGGCTTGAGTCTAAAGTAGTTTTAAGATAAGGGAGAAAGGAGAAGTACACCACTAACTTTGCAGTCTTTCTCAATTAGGTTTGTAGGATACAGTGAAGCCCTGATTTTCCATGGAACCAAGAATGCTACTAATTATGTAACATCTTAAGGAGAAGGGAGAAGATCACAACTCAGATCATTGATTATATTCTATGCTCCAGATGAGTTTAGTGAACACATAGGACTTAGTGTATTGATCATTGTGGAGTGAGATAAAATGAGTTCTGTAAACATCTGCAGGAAGAACGTCCCATAAAAAACATAACTTGCAGGGAAATTTTCTCTGGGCCCTTAGTACTATCTTATACTTTCCAAATACATTGGGAAGTTCAGTGGTAAGTTCTCACGTACTTAAAATGTATATAGGATAAGATGTAAAATGGTGTAAAGAGCTGGAGTAAAACCTCTTCATAATATCAGATTTTTTTTTTTTTGGTACTGGGGATCGAACTGGGGACCTTGTGCTTGTGAGGCAGGCACTGAAACCACTGAGCTAAATCCCCGCCCCAATATAGATTTTGTTTGGTTTTCTTTGTAAAAGAAGGCCATTCTTAATATTTTAATAAACTAATCTGGCTTCCAACCCTTCCTTAAGAAAGTATGTGTAAAGATTAGTATGCCATATACCACATACCATCCACTTGTAACAATACGCAAGTTCTGTTATGAAGAATGAGAACTCAGTATCAATAACCAGTGAATGTAAGCAAAATGGTTGCTATAGGAGCTAAAGATGAATGTTATGTGAAGAAGCTGAAAAAGGGAAGCAGTCTTTATAGTTATAAATAGATTTTTATACATTTGTTTATTGGAGTGGTAATACTAGGTTTTTGAAATAATTTGATGAGGGGAGAGAAGGTTGTATGTTAATTTACTTTCTAATGTTTACTTAATGAATTTACTTAATGAGGCCAGCCTGGGTTACATAGTGAATTCAAGACCAGCCAGAACTACTTAGCGAGATCCTGTCTCAAAAAACAAAAACAAACAATGAATTGTGCACAAATTCAGCCTCCCAGAATCATGCAGTTTTGCTCCTGTCTTTTTAGCTAACTTCTGTTTTGGAAATGCCATTTTTTTTTTTTTTTTAAAAGACGTATTTCTAATTGCTCTGAATGTGTATATTTAGATTTCTCAACTTTAAAATTGGCATTACTATAAATGAGTTTAAAGTAACTAGAAAATTGTTTTTATTTTTCTTGCATTTTTTGTACCTAAAATTTTATCACCACTAGGTCGTGTTAAAACAGTAGCTTTTGTATACTGATAGTATCTGTTGTTTCTTTTAGTTTTACCAGTATAAGAATTTTCTTTTTCTTGTCTCCCAGGCACTCTCCCCTTCATAGCACCAATCACCAACCTATAACAATTTTGAAAATGTTATAAATACAAACTATGTTGTATATTTTCAAATTTTAAAGCAGTAGTATTCTCTTTTTAAACTGAACTGTTGGAAAGAAGAAGAAAACAAATATATTTACTTTATATTTGTAAAACTTTCTGAAAAGTAAAAAGTACGGAAAGCTAATGTCACCAGTCTCTCACATTGTTCACAAAGTATTTTTTCATAAATAAATCATTGATTATATTTAATGTGAAATGAAACCATTCTTTTGTATGTTTGAAAATATTTTACTGGCAAAGGACCTAAATACTTAAAATTAACTCTAAACTAGAATAATGAATAAGCTAAATATTTTTAAGTCACCCTAACATTTAAATCAGCCTTATATAATGGTTCCTATTTACATATATGATGTCTAAGAAGGTCAAAGAGAAATATATTCATATAGCAATAGTAGAGGATGTCTTAAATTCCTTTTGGATGTAAAATGATAGTAGAAATGAATTTTGGGATCCCTGAGCATCCTGTAATACATAATGCTCCAGGACCTGAAAGTGAGTACTGATGTAATACCACAAATGGAAAATTCCACACCTAATGTTGTATGACCTATTCCAGTAAAAACATAGGTAAACTAAAACCACTGTGTTAAATTTCTTTCAGGTAATAAATTATATATGATACAAATAAATTTTGTTTTTAGACCTAGATCTCACCCCCAATATATTTCATCATATGTAAATGTACAGTAATTCCAAAATCTGAAACCTGAAGCACTTAAAGTATACCTGAGGCTAGGGGAGTAGCTAGAGGTAGAGCCTCTGCCTAGCATGTACAAGGCCCTGGGTTCAATCCCCAGCACCATACCAATCAATCAGTAAATGCTATGGCACTGACTACATACATACCTGTTATTCAACATGTATAATGTAATGGTTAAGAGCTAGATCATATGAGGTTTGAATCCATCTCAGGTTAGGCACTCCTGACTTTTCAGGTTTCATTTGTTGTGATGATTATGTCTATAACTGGTTCTACCTTTATAATTTATATATAAGCAATATCTCCATAAAAGATTGAAAAGTTTCATCACAGTAACACTGTTTTCCTCACCTCATCACTTTTAGTCTTTCCATAGCTTTAAATAACATTTAACTTTTTTTCTGTTGTTCCATCAACTTTTAAAAATTTTTCTAGGGCCTGGGATTTAGCTCAGTTTTTCCGCAGTCTGCCTTGCATGTGCAAGGACCTGAGTTTGATCCCTGGTGCCAAAAAAAAAATTTTTTTTCTCTTAGAAGGATAACTAATGTCCCTGTTCTTCCACATAGCTTCTTTTTCCACCTTCCAAACTATTAGCTAGCCAATAGAGTGTATCTTTGGAATTTGCCCATTTTGTGTAAGTTATTTAATTTATTGGCATAAAAATGTTCATAGTACCCCTTACAATCTTTTTTATTTCTGCAATTAGTAGTCCTGTTTACGAGTTTATTTCTGATTCTGCTACTTTGAACCCACCAACCGCCCTATCCCCTGGGCAGTCTAGCTAACTTTGCCAATTTTATTGATTTTTCCAAATAACCAGCTTTTGCTTCTGTTGTCTATTCAATTCTGTTCTAATTCATATTTCATTCTACTCAATTGCTTTGGGCTTTGCTCATTTTCTGCTTTTTTAAGGTGAGAGGTTAGACTGTGTTCATTTGTGATCTTAACCAAATTACATATCTGGAAGTACTGCATTAGGTGTATTCTGCATTTTGGTATATTGTCTTTATTTTCATCATATTGATATACAGTATTTTGTATTTCTCGAGC